GATCACTTTTATGACACACAATTATAACTGCCATAACTCTTTTATGTACGAATATAAAATTACCTTTTACATGCTTGCGACTACAAGCTTTTACGTGTCACTCCGTCTGCTTACAAATTGTATTTGTTATACTTTTACTGATGAAGAAAAATATTCATTTCTGTCTAAGCAAGATATTGAGGAAACTATCTAAGGAAAGCATAGATTGTAAAATGAAGACAATGTGTGGATGGCTGACTTTTAAGTGAACAGAGTTCATGTCTCGTTCACCTAGTCAACCAAATTTTATCATACCTCGCAATCACCTTACTTATAATAAAATTTGATTACCATCATATGCCCACCATTTTATTACATCTCTAATTAACAAACTCATTTTCATTTTGTTCAAAAAACTAATCACGAGCTATGCTAAATAATTTGAAAATAACGAAAGATAATATATTATGTTCCATCTTAGGACCAGGGATCAGGTATGTACGAATATAGGTCACAGCACACTGAGATACAATAAGACAATGGTTGCGTGGATCCAGCATCCCGTCCACAGAGCTGCGGCTGTCGATCTACGTAAATTAATATATTAGCCGTACACCGGCCAGGCCCGGCAACCACGATATGTGGCCGATACCACAAATTAATGCCTATATATTTCTCTTCCATGATTTCAAATATTAATAAACAACTAGCTTCCTCATATATTGTATTATGAATTATTATCTATGTTACTGTTTTCCTGCTTGATTTGGTATTCGTTAGTCTCGTAGCAGTCCAAAGAAGCTTAAGCAAAAGTCAGAAAAAAATAAAAAAAATTGTAAAAATCAAACAATCTGTTTCATAAGTGAAACTAAGTACAAATACAAAACTTTATTGATACATAGCTTGCAAAGTATTAACGTGTATATCGTGTTAAACATTAAGTAGTACAATAATGTAAGTACCTCAGTAATACATAACTACAGCTGAAGCTGGCGCTACAATAACATGTTATGATGATTACGAGCTAAGCTAATATATTTTTAAAGTTTATGATATACTTAGGTCCATCAGTAATGTGTAGATGTGCGCGTGTGTGTGTAAGTGTCCGGAGGTCAGGCCGACGTGTGACGTGGCCCTCACACACTCATCACTCATATTTCATGAAACGATCAAATTCGTATCACTTTCGGGGAGAGTGATAATTTCCCCGGAGACTCCACGGAAGGAACACGCCACAATAACGTAAAAGGGGTTCTGCAAAGTATTTGTTTATCAAGATGTTTATGTCGCGACACTCGACACCCGACACTCTGCTCATTGACGAGTGCCTGACTTTACATCAACGACACAATTATTATTATCTTCCGATGTTAATTGGATGGCGGTTGTTAATGAAGTAATTACTGAAAACAAGTGATCGGCGGCGTTCGGAGGCCGCGCCCGCTAAATGTTCCGATGAAGAGCAAACAGATTCTAATTACTGTGACAAGCACAACGAGTGTACTGTCGGTGCTCTATGACACTCGGGACACTGATTGCTTGTTTAAGTAATTACTTATTATTGTTACTTCATTATACTTAAGCTGATACAAAATGGTAATTAGGTTCTGTTCAACTTATTCATAACAGGTGCTTTTATATCGTTTACTGGATTTTCTCAAGCTACGTTTGTTGTTTGATGATTAACAACACTCGGAACAATTTCCTCCCCACATGATGTGTAGCCCCATGGTCTATTACCCCCCACGTATCTCCGAGCTCCATCAGCAATAAATTGAATAGTCGTCGTTGGTGCCTGCCGACCCCTGCGACCCCATCCTTTGTTTCCACCACCACAAAGGCTGGTTAATGAGTGGTGTAACGACTCCCATGTCACGCTCAAAAATATTACGCGAACAATAATTACATAATAATTCATACACAAACATATTTGTTTTTGGGTAATTTAGCTCGTTTTGTTGTTATTATGTAAAAAAGTGTGTAACGCGGCACAATGATGTCACCCTTCTCGCTAATAAAACATTTTATTTTTGGCAACCCGTGTGAGGCGGGAATTATGTGGAATGCTGGCAGGAGAGTCAATCTCCCGACACCCGACACCCGACACTGACCGTCACACAATTGACTGGAATAATATAATTAACATTGACTGTGATAATAATTATTTATCAAATTATACCTAAATGCAATATTAAGTCGTTGTATTTTCAATTCTAATATTCCTCCTCTTGAAGTGCGGCAACGTAATTTATCGTGGCGCTGAAGAAAATGTGCAAGAATAGCATACACTCAAGAAAAGTAATTAAAAATATAACGACATCGTAGCTCAGCGAGGCGGCGCGCCACCAGAGGGCGCGGGCGGCGTGTTTGGACAACTGAAATAAATACCCGCGGCGTCTGAGTTGCAGCGACAACACTGCGCTGCACCGCCCACCTACTTGTAGCTGCGGCTGCCTTCTATTATGAAGTTCCGACTGTAGCCAACTCACTTGGGCTAAACTTTAACATGAAAACCTTATGTATTTAGAAATACTATCTCAAGCTAAGTTTTAAATAAGTGAAACATTACTTATTTCAATAAAATATATATATTTATATTTTAAGGTTAGGCAATAAGTCTCACGGGTAGACCTTTTGATGGATTTCAAATAAAATAATTCTCGAGTAAAGTAAGTCTAAACATTTATGTTCGTGCAAATTAAACATAATTTCAGTTCAGTCGTTCGAAGATATCTGATTCAAATGAAGACGGAACATTCCACTTCACAATTTCCAATTAAATAAAAACTTGTAAAATACAAACTGTGCTGTACGATTGTAAATATGCGGGGAGTAGCCTCTCATCGTGCTCAGACCAAAGTGTAATGTTTTCATAAAATTACCTCGTAAAAGGATTTTTTTCGCATTTCCTTAAAAACTCAATTATCGTTGCCATTAACAAATTAAACACAAAAAAACATTAAAAAAGTTAGAAGAGAAAATAAAATGTATTAACTTTGTAATTATCAAAAGCGGTGTAATTTGCGCGACGTCGCGTCGTTAATCACAAGACAAAGCTTCGGTAAAAAGTATTTTTGTTTATAAACCAAATAATCCGGAGATAATAAGTTTAGCTTTGTTTCCGAAAACGCCGGCTTCTAAATAATTGATAACGTATATCTGGCGGAGGAGCGCAGCCTCGCTGCCCGGCCCGGCCAAATATTATAATCCTCATTAGAGAGGGAAGCGATGCCATTGAATTAATGACGTCTGAGAGGGCAGCTGAAGTGAGCCCTCGCGCCGCGTAATATTGGCGGCTCTAGTATAGCCGGCCCTTCGTTACGTGTACCCCGTGTTATCCAATCAAATGTCCTCTCATTTTTTGGGACGGAATATTTCATAAATTTCAGGAGACCCTATTATTTCCATATTTTAAGTGCGGCCTGGTTCAGCCATGACCGCCACTATATTCTGGAACTTCCGATGAGAACATTTACTTGAACAATGATGTCAGGATAATGCTTCATACTCCAGGTTGCCTTGTTTGTGTACACACATATGAGATAAGTATATTATTATGTACAGGGGTACAGGGATCTCCTCTGTACTAGCGTATAAAACATTCACAGACCTAATTCAACGAGTCTTTCTAACGAATATGCCCAATTCGAAATCAGCTTGAAAATATGTGTGAGCTTGAAATCTATTCCTTTGATAATAATATAAATAGTTACACAACTTTAACATAATATTGTGTTATTATGTAATGAACGTTTACAAGTTGGGGCCCTTCTACTTAGTGTCTTAAGATTATGTTCCAATTATTGTAGTGACACGTGTTTTGTTCGAAACGCTAACATTATCTTTGTTTTCGAGATATAAATAGAAGTTGGTGTCACAGCGGCCCGACTCTCAGACAATTATTTTCTGCTCGACGGCCTAAAGAAATGTCAATAAGTTATGAGGGAGAAAGCAAACGTCCATTGCTTACGCGTTTCGTCTCAGAGCAATTTGTTTTATGTCAGCCGGTGAAAGATCCGCAGCGAGCCAGCGAGCCAGTGAGCCCTTCCATCAACCAATATCTTATTGCTTTCCATTCAATTTCGCTACTAATGCCTGTCGGCTAGTTTCTGACCTAGATTACTCCGCGGAGGGGACGACGATGTATTTGCAAACATGTTTTTTATTTGTGGACAATGCAAACAATTTTTTATGCGAACGATACAACGTTATTAACATGCATTAACTACAACATATACAATATTATTAAGTTTCGAGCATACAACGTTAAACACAACAGTGTTTATTGAAAGCGTAACAAGCTCTGATAACTTGTGTTAACTCCTCTGAATACTTCCACGAAGATAAGGATTGGTTTATTTAAATAATCAATGGATCGTTATGTAGATAGTGTAAATGTGTGTTTAGATAACATCGCGTCGCAGCTTGTCGCCTGGTTAAGCGGGTGTAATAACCGTTGCCGAGCGGAGGCAGCTAACGATGTTACCGGCAGCACGGCATCACGGCAGCATGGCGGCGTGTCGCGCCCCGCACTGCCTGCACTAACATCGGCTTAAGACAGTTTACACTAACTACTTATGCCGCGCAGTTACTAAGTATTAAACTCAGAACAACGCGACAACAACGCAGGTGGAACGCGATTACATTTTATAAGTACTCCGAGGTTTATGTACGACTAAACCTAATTTCTTCTATCATTCAGAATATTTTACATTCACTTATGGACCTACCTACTTACTCTCAAAGTTGTTGTTCATCAGTGAGTCTACACAAAATGCAAATGTCAAAGGTCACGAATACGAAGTATTACAGTAAGAAAGAAAATTTTCACAAAACTCAAGGTTTATGCTTAATTTTTTGTTATACAAAAACTTTCTCCTATGGAATTTGATAAAACGCCCACAAACTAAAACAAACAATGAATGCTTTAAAGTGAACGACCTCGCACCTTTTCACGAAATTCTATCGAAGAAAAACTGGAGGTCATTGAGTAACGGAGGTCCCGGAGTTGAAACATTCGTATGCAGATGGCGCTCGCAGCCGCCGACGTATCGCCGGCGCGCCGCACCGCCGCCGCCGGTCTCCGCTCTAACGATATGGGCCCTCAGGTACCTGGGACCCCGATACCGAGCCTATATCTCCTCCCACGGAATGCAAATGGCGCAGAATGTGTCGTATATTTCTTCAGTTATAGGGCGTCAAAAAGAAATTCAAAGGACAAAAGAAGTTTTGTGCCCAAACAGACTTAAATATCTTGTTACATTTTGGATACAAGTTCAATCTAAGGTTTGTTATACATATTGTTAATGAGAGAATCAAAGAAAGGTCCACAAAGCAAGGCGATAGTTTGTACAATGTCACAGTATTAACTCGTCACCAGGCAGATTCCAGACGTAAAAATCTGATTAGTGCGACGCGACGCCACGCGCGACGTCTCGCTCAAGCCATTACAACGAATTGAGGAGAATAGGTTATTGTTAGGCGACAAACTAGCTATTTGTATTCATTACGTACTCACATTTCAATTCCTTTTTCTAGTGGAAAAAGAAATGTCGTTAAAACTTTTATAACATTATGGACATATGGGTACTCGACAGAACTCAAATAGTTATCTTTTATTACAATACATTACAAAAACTGGGAAAAAACGATCGCGATCACTATACTGCATCATCACTACGACACGATCGGGAAACCACTAGCTTCTACCCATTAATGTCACTCACTTAATCCTCACTGTTAGTGTTATACATGTACAGCTTCCTTGGTTGTAGCCTCTATCCTTGCCAGACCAAAATACAAATTGAATTCGGCAGTTGTCCGTCAAGTATTTATAACAATGTTCAAGACTCGGCCAAACGAACTATCTGTACAGAGTCCTTGGCAATGCAGACGTATTTAAGACATTCTAAGCCTGAATTCGGCCGTCTTAGTCCTATATTTGTTTACATCACATATTGTAGAACTTTTTGATACTTAGTGCTCAGCTACTTTAGTATGCAGCGTAGGTTCTGTACCTAACAGGTGGCCAGGTCAATACTTTCAATCCGCTCCGCACGGGACACCTCGCTGTATTAGTCCGCAACCCTTTTACCAAACTAAGAAAAGTAACTTTAAGGGTTAGGTCTGTGAGCGGGTATCAAAGTATGCGATCTCCGTTTCATTTAAAAATTCTGTTACGAACCTTATGGGAAATGGAAAATGTTAAGGCGTTTGATTTTCGTATCTCAACCAAAACTTAGAGGTCCCTGATCTATGTAATAAGAACCTTTATTAAGGATTACGAAAAGAAAAGAAAATAAAACACTTTAGGGTAATGTGAGGATGCATGACGGGTGCTCTCAAGCGTCGTTCAGCGCCGTCTGGTGGCGACACGGGAGACCATTTGTCTTGTTACCGCCACCGGCAGCGGAGACAAAAACTAAAGTCCTTCTCCACGGAGTAACTTTGTTTAGATGAAAACATTTAGAGACGCGACGTCTGAGCTCTGACGAGCGTTACTAAGTCTTCGCAAGCAAATTAATTAGGAAACTTGGGCGTGTGTGAAGCGTGAGAGGTGCGTGAGAGGTGCGTGCGAGGTGCGTGTGAGGTGCGTGCGCCGCGCGGCTCTTGTTTGTGTTCTATGATTGTTTCCTCACTTCCGTATTGTGTGATCGGCTTTTGATGTAAGCGCCTTTACAATTTCCATTCGTGTTGCTACAAAGAAAAGTTAATCAACATGGGAGTGGAGCGTGAGTTCTGATCATTTGCCACGTTTTCCTGTTCCGAACAATCTTTTGTCTCATGTTTATGATCGAGCTGCGGCCGCGTCTACCTTGCGCCTTGCGAGTCGTTTATCATTCCTCGGCCGCGTAATGTAATTAAACATTTTTATCATATAGAATAATGTATGGCGTGTCACCCTCCTCGACGCGGACGGTGTGCAGTGACACAGGCTGACACCAGGTGCGACAAAGCCGCCAGGAATTACAAGCGTACAGCCTTTTGTAGGAACGCTTTTTTGTTGGATTGCTCGTTTGAAACAACTACGTACAATACTCTTGTGCCGCTTATAGACATTTGTAAAAACTCGACATTTTTAAAAATGAAAAAGGTCAAGTTTCCCTAGCGTATCATGTTGTACCTGAAACACGTTATTTGACGCTTTTATATATTATGTATGTAATGGTTTAACTCGACATTTATGTAAACTGTACATATTCCCTTTTTTGTGAAACGATTCGAGCTTTATTTCAGATACAAAAATAAACCTTCAGCTATATGGCTCTATATGGCCGTACACCTAACAGTTCAGTAGTAAAACGTATAATACTATATTCACAAGAGCACAGTAAGCATGTGTTTGTGTGTGGGCAGGCAATCGTCGCGTGATGGCGCATGGATTGCTTGCGGACGGCGTGGTGCTGGTGCGCGGCGCTGGTGCTCGCGTCGCTGGCCGCCGCCGGCCCGCGCTACAGCAGCCGCATCGTGCACACGCACGCAGGTACAACCTAGCACGAACGGACATATATCCCGGACCGTGTTTGATTACAGCCACGTAAGCAGGAAGTACACAGGTATGGTATAGCTAGACACGCGTCGTGTCCCCGGGTCCCGGCCTCGGGAGGTTTTAATTCCGTCAGATCCCGGGCCAATCCAATCAGCCGGCCCCTACTGCACGGCGGGTAAATGATGTTGTCCCGTTTTGCAGACGCGCCGTAGGAATGTGGGATCAAATTAATTATTGTTTGAAGCCGATTCGGGGCGTGCCGGCAAATAGGATAAATGGCGGCTTTTCCGATACGCAGGCCGCCGGCTGATTCGGCCAATTTATTTATTCACTGCTGTCTCTGCGCTGCCACTGATTTAGCCCCGTTTTGCTCTCCACGCAATCGCTTCGTCAAAGGAAAATACAGTTATCAACTGTTTTTACAAATTGCTCGTGTGTTTTGTTGGAAATCTAGGATCTACAGCGCAACGGTTTTCAATTTCAAAAGTTTCGTTATTTGACCATTTTAACAAAGTTCTATCAGTGAAGCATGTCACAGAATAGAAACTATAAAGATAATATGTGCCTCCGGAATAATGATTTGGAGTGTAAATGAGAATTTTAGATGTCTGTGACTAGCGAGCGTGCTATGGTGATGTTGACCTTTGCCAATACAGGAGCGATCCGCGGTATCATAGTGGAGCCGGCCTCCCGGCGGCTGGAGCCGGTGGAGGTGTTCCTGGGGGTGCCGTACGCCGGGGCTCCAGCTCGCCTGGCGCCGCCGCCCCCCGCGCCCAGCTGGCCTGGCACTCGCCTCGCCGACGCCTTCGCCCCCGTCTGCCCGCAGCGGTACCCCGACATATCCAACAAGTGAGCATTTTGCATAGCTTGGACAAGTAGCTGGACCATCTCAATTTTAACTGACCAACTGCGATATCCACTAACTAACATTATATCAGTCATCGGCCTCCATAGGAGAAGACCTTTATTTAACTTTCCGCTATCAATAACTAGCAACACAGCCAGATTGTAAGGCTCACATTCTAAGCGGGGCATGATTACCCAGGAGTGCGGCGCTGGCCAAGATGCCGCTGGGCGTGTACAACGAGCTGAGAGCGACGGTGCCGCTCCTGGCCAACCAGAGCGAAGACTGCCTGTACCTCAACATATACGTGCCCGGTAGCGGTGAGTCACTGCTAGTCTCGATGTACCGCGTTGTTTAATGTTTCATTGTTTCATTGAGTGGTACACCGACAGGCGCGCGCGGCGTGGAAGCGCCGTACGCGTTGGTGGTGTGGGCGGGCGGGCCGTCCCACGAGTGGGGCACCGCCAACGCACTCGACGGCGCCGTGCTCGCTGCGCGCGCGCATCTGCTCGTCGTCACCATCAACTATAGGCTAGGATTGTTAGGTACGAAATATAAATATGTGTTTTGGTTATAATTACTATTTTATCATAATGACAACTACAACAAAATCCCACACGATAAAAACCAAGAAATATATGTAATTGAAGAGCAATTACCACTTTCATCTTGTTATTTGACTTTTCATGGCCTCATTTTTCTTGTACGGAAGTCAACCAGGAACATGGTGTGTATTGTAATATATGTAATGTTTTTATTGTGATCAGGTTATTTAACTCCGGGCGTGAGGTCCACTGCGGTGCAAGCAGCTGGGGGTGCTGCGGTGCTGGACGTGGCGGCAGCGCTGGGCTGGGTGCGGCGCAACGTGGCGGCCTTCGGGGGGGACCCGCGCCGGGTCACGCTGGCTGGCCACGCCGCGGGGGCTGCGCTCGTCAACGCGCTGCTCATGCTGCCCGACAGTAAAGGTGAGGGACCACGTGGTTACGTGTGTCATTGGTGCGATCGGAAAACCTTGTTGCAGTTTCTATTACAAAGGTAGAGCCAAACACTGACAACTTGAGTTTATAATAATATGTTTTATGGAAAGTGATACATTTTTAGTCAGTCTCGTGCACATCTCATTATAACAATGATGATGTTAATCCTTTAATCTCTATCCAATCAAAATCTATAAATATATTCATGTATAAGTTAGATCTGAATAGGTTGTCTCAGCACGCTTATATAATAAATTATGTAGGTTAACTCACACTTGGATAAAAGAAAGCTACAATGATTAAATGTATTTACTTATGTACGACATATGTTATATATACAAGCGATAAGTGAACACAGAACAGATGAAGAGACGAGATCAATAAACACAAGACAATAAGCTCCCAGGCAACCCATTTAACGCTAAACTAACATACGAACTAATATAGTCGGCAACAAAAATATTTACTTTGACATCGCAAGTATATTTAGGTACGTACATATATATATACAGTACATCTGAGAAATATATCTAGACATATTTATATTTAGGACAGATTGCCGTGGCTCACTGAAATATTCCCAAAGCGATCGTTTCACTGCGTTTTGCAGGATATTGCATATTGCAGCCTCACGAGCACGTGCCATCAATATAAAATCAAAGGAGAAAAATGTGCATAAATAAAATATATGTGTTTTCTATATTAATATGCTTTCAGATACTATGTATAAGTGCATATTGATATTGTGTATTTATAGTGAGTATAAAGTTTAGAGTTCCCGTACGGTTATACTAGGAAGCCAGTTAGGGTATTTGTAAATCCTAACTCTATTTAAACAAATACCTAACACAATCGTATAGATCTTAGCGATTACATTATTAGCGAGACATTTTGTAGGGGAGGATTTCTCTAAAAGTACACTGTGTAACAGGGCTAGTGTCCCGGGTGCTCCTACTGAGCGGCTCCGCGCTGAGCCCCACGGCGCTGGCGCCCGACGCCGCACTGGCCAGGGAGCACACTGCACAATCCCTGCGGTGTACGCCAGAAACCACCAATGACGAGAACTGGTAATACTTTCTATTTTATTTATTTATATTTTACTTAAGCTATAAAGAAATAACAACACTGCTACATATATTATTATTATGATGAAAGTTATCTAAAAACATTAAAATCCATTATGAAGAATTGTTTATATCTTACAAGAGAACATTTGGTAGGTTCGTAGAATGCATCCGCGCCCGACCACTAGCGGCACTGTTGGCAGTGGAAGCTCCGAAGGCACGGTTCCTGGCTGGCTGGGCACCATCAGTCCCCATCTCCAGGGAAACTGCCTCGCAAGGGCAGGCTCCTACCAGAGCGCTGCATGCCAGCGAGGCCTTCCTAGACTGTGCACTCGCGGTAGTGGTCGCTACCACTGAGAGCTACCAGTTTTTCAATGAAGAAGACATTCGACATGGCTTTGAAGAAGAACATAGGTAAAATTTTCAGTTTTGTTTGACAATTTTATCATTTATAAGGTATACTTGGTACAGTAGACTATATTTAGCTCTGCACTCCACCAGGAACCGCATCCTCCGCACATACGTCCGCAACGTGTACCGCTACCACCGCAACGAGATCTTCGCGGCCATCCGGAACGAGTACACAGACTGGGAGAAGCCTATCCAGCATCCGATCAACATCAGGGACGCAACGCTGGAGTCTCTCAGCGATGCCGCCGTCACTGCACCAGCTCTCAGGGTCGCGCAACTGCATGCAAGGAGGGGAGCCAGAACTTACTTCGCGCATTTTGCACACCAAAGCAAGGATGCTGATTACCCCCAAGTAAGTTAGAATAGTATGAAACTTTTTAATGTAAAATATGCCAAGGAAGAACGCCAATCCTCATAAAACTTGTTAGTTTTCACAACTCTTTTGCAGCAATATATCATAATGTTGTGTGAGTGATCCAATTACCGCGGGGGCGTGCGGCGACAGCCACATTATAATATGTGAATGAATTAGGGAGGTACGAGAGGCCATTAATTTACTCACAATCTACGCGATCACCAAATTTGTCAAAACTTCCTGTAATGAATAATTAGCTCATTTGCATTATCACTAACGTCATAAAATTACAGTGAAATGAATAATTGCCCGCTAATGTATTGCTCTCATTTTGTTTGTGGAAATTATATGAACTTGGTCTTCTTCTAAAACGAAAAAAACAGTATTCGGAATATTCGGATGCGTTCGGTAAGCTAACATCCCTGTGTCATTTGCCAAACGTGGGGATTATGGGCATTTTTACTTGATGATAATAAGGAGGAAATAAAATATTATCCAACAGCGGCTAGGTAGTGTTACGAGTGAAACCCTGCCTTACTTCCTGGGGCTGCCCCTGGTGGGTGGCATGCAGTACGCGCCGCGGAACTATTCGCGCGGGGATGTAGCTGTGGCTGAGATGTCCGTGTCCCTGCTTGCTGCCTTCGCCAAGACAGGGGACCCTACACCACGAGCCGAAGAGAGGCATCACGACGGTGCTACTAGCTGGCCTAGATACGAAATGAATACTCAACAGTACTTAAGTATAGGTAAGGATGTTTCTTCTAATAACTAATTAAATTGTAAAGCTTGCTGCACTCACTTTAAATATCCAATCCGTTTCATTATGTTATGCTTTCCCACATTTGACAGTTACATTACTCAGCTGAGTCAAAAACAGGTCCATAAATAGGTTAATGTAATTCATAGCAGAGGTTGGGCGTCACGGCGCACGGCGCGACATGTGCGTACAAAACAAGGGTGAACAGAATAACACGCAGATTTTTCATCTAACTGATCTGAGAATAAAATCTCGCACGGCACCAAGTTAATCAGATATTTAAGGCGCTGTTCAAAGTTTGAGCTCCATATTGTGTCGAAACTCGTTATTTTTACGATCTGCTTCCCCAACAAATGTGCGTGTTTTCCCTTCCCCTGCTCTAAGGGTTTACAACTTTTTTAATCCTTTCGTTACAGTGTTTCTTACATTTTACGTAATACTTGGTGCTGAGTCTTACATTTATTCGTTTTCTTTTAGATTTGGGTTTGACCTTACCTAAATATTCCCAAAACCAGTATATTAGTGATATCTTTTCTATTTTCGGGATCACACAGTCACGGACCATTTGAAGGGCCGAATTGAATTCGCCGAGGCTCGCTAAACAACTTTCTTCGAAATGAGATGGTAGTTTTTTATTATTTGTTCAATCATGTAATTTTGTATATTTTTGCAAACCTTTTTTTTTTTGTCAGGGGAAAATCATCCAATGACTTCTCCCGCCCAGGGTAAGGCGAGAGAGAGTGTCAGACTCTTACTGACCAAAAACCCCCCCGTTCCTTCTCCTGCTCTGGGCCGAGGTCGCGGTGCCTCATTGCGCTTACCCCGCAGCCCCGGCTAAATATTTTTGCAACCCTAAGGATTGATTACCCCTATTTATAAGTAGTTTGAGTAAATATTGCAATGATATGGTCGTCCTACTAGGTACAAAGCTCCGAGTGAAGAGTCATTATCGCGGGCACAAGATGGCGCTGTGGTTGCATTTGATCCCGCAGTTGCACCGGCCGGGGGCTGCGCCTCGCCATCACCAGTTCAGGTCCATACACCCGGACATGTTTGCAGGTCAGTTCATTTCTTATTTAATGTAGTGCCGAAATTAGTTCTATAATAATATAATCTGTTTTACAATTTTGTTGCTACCTGTGTACTGAGAGTCCATCCTGCACAGTGGCTGTGTCTACAAGTATCTCTTCACAAGTATTCTCTGTGTACCGCACGTGACCACTACGGAAGGAATTCCCAAAATTCCGTCCAAGTTGTTGGACCAAACGGCGGCGGCGGTCTTTTGTAATAGTTGATGCGTTAACTTGCTGCCTTTACTTTGCATTCACTCCCTGAACCTCCTGGCCTCTAAATACTTGCTACATTTATCTTTACTTAGCTACTTCGTAAATACTTCTTTTTAGGCCTCCGAAACCAAAAGTAGTATCCTTATTACTAAGACCCCGCTGTTCGTCCGTCTTTTTGTCTGTCTCAAGGCCGTATACATAAAACGACACAATTACATCAGTTGAAATTTAGACTGATGATGTTATTCTGTTGCTGTTAAATCAAAACAAAAATAAACAAAGATGGTGTATGCACCGCATTACGAGTCAGACGTAAATTGTGTAAAGAATAGATTTCAGCTGTAATTGGTGGTGAATAGACGGTGGTGGAAATTTGGCCAATCACCGCAAACATAGGCGCAGCTTTAATGGAAAGCAAATTGGTAACGTCTACCGTTGCTTAAATTGAGCATGCCTTATTATCCAGAGCCATTAGTGCTATTTCCTGGCGCGGCGCGTAAACGGAACGCCCTCATTAACCGCTCCCCCCCCACCGCTTCCCTTTATAAATGCTCAGGAACACTATAGCCCGGGCGTGAGCGGAATCAGGACCACGAAGTTAATAACACGCGTGAGATTATATTAATTGGAAGAGACGTCACTGAAAGGATTCAAGTTTGGGAGCTCCACACAGTTTGAATACTAAATAATGGCTCAGAAGCCAAAGAGAATTCAAGCTTTAAATTTGTTGGAGCGAGACAACTTGGGCCGCACAGGCGCCACTACTTGCTAGGCGCTGCGCGTCGGCTTTGTTTATATGCTCCCGCAGACATTAATATAGCGGGTCCGCGAACCGTGGCGCTATATGCGAGACCACCGGTGTGTTTGGAATGTATAAAAATAAAAGTTGTCGCCAAAATATTTGGTAGACAAGTGATTAATGGCGGAAGGTGTCACGAATGAAAATAAATCGATCAGGGAGTGTTTCGGGAGGGCCGGAGCTGTTATTAATTGTCCCGCGAATGGCTGGAATTCCTCCATAATGAGCGGTATGGGAAGAATGGCGCGGTCTGGTGGCGAACAATGCGGGCCCTTTGTCACGGACAACTTCACTCGCTGTTGGGCTCCGACACACCGCCACGCACACAGGCCTGGAGTACATGTATTGTTGCCGGGAAGATATGCTCTTTATGTTCGCGTGCTTGGAATTACTTTCCAAAGAATATTCACATCCAAAACTGTCTTTAAAATGGAGCAGGTCAAGTTTTGTTCAATTTTGCGTTGAAATATTTAAGCCAAGGATTCTAGCCACAATGGGGCGCATGGCTGGTAATTCTAGTAAAACTTCACATGGAATATAAGATATTGATTAGAGTCAAAGCACTTGAAACATTTCTTTTTGAAGAATTTTTACAAAGGAATGGGAGAATCTTTATGAATTCGTCAGTAGCACGCCGCTCGTCCGGCAGTTGAGTGCTAATCAGTACATGATAGCGCGGAGCGGGCTGTGCACACTGCACACTGCAGGCCGGCGGTGTCCCGGCGCCGATAGCCTTTTGTTTACACGCAATGTGCGCTAATTACCGCTGAGATTGTCGCCATTGTTAATTTTGCTGATTTTCCTGAATGAACTCTGTCAAAACAATGTATTAGAGGTTTGAAAGCCTATGTTAAGGAATAATTAGAGCTGAAAATTGGGGATAAAGGGATTAAAATAAAAATGTGTGGAGAGATACGTCTCTCGTAACCACACGCACACAGTGAAACACTTCACAAGCGTTGTTCTACGCCGGTGTTCTGTGCAGCAGTGTTGTAGTTAACTAGGAATCATTAATGCCGAAACATAACTCTCTCACACCTAAAGTGTGTAAAAAAAAATAGAGTATGCAGGCATTGATAAAAATTGGAGCAAAGTTGCCGTTGAATAAAAGGTTATATAAATTAAGATACATGTGTGTACACAGTTTCCAGCGGTGTGTAGTTGAGTGGCAAACGAGAACATTAAAGTGTCGATATCTGAAGCAGGAAGACGCGGCGGCCGCAGCGCGGGGCCTTTGTTCAGTTTCCTGGCAGCCGACACCCGGCGCAGGGCTGCCGGCTTCACTTCAATGTAGACAATTTGCTAGAGCCGACGTTGACGGCCATTCAATATCATCACAAACGAAAACTTTGATTGGATGCCCCTTCATGAATTCCGTGAAATGGCTCTTTAACTACCCTTAAAAATTGGACCAGTCTTTCTTGTTAGAAAGTATTTTGAGAATAGTCATCAGGATAATTTTCTAACCAAACCTTTTACTTTTTCAAACAGTATTTGAAAGTGTTGGAAAACCTTAATTAGCTGCGGAGTTCTTCATACAGGATTTCACATATCAGACGTAGTTCACGGGGTCCGTTTAAGAAACAATAGTTGAGCACAGCTGCCTAGACACGTTCCAGTTCATCCTTAGCTTTACAAAGCGCGGGCGGCGCGGGCGGCGCCAACAATCGCTCTTTGTGCGAGCCTGCGAGTAGGCACAACTTGGGATCGCCTGCATTGTGCGCGCGTCCACCATTCATTACCAGCCTTTGATAACTTCAGGGATCGCTTTCTTGTTCAGATATGTTCTATATTGGAGAGCTATTTACTTTGCCATTCTATTGACAATCTATTGAATGTCATGCGGTTATCATATCTTGCGTGAAATGGGTAGCACTCTAACAACCGGAATGATATCTGCGAAAAAGATATTTGCAGCAGAATCGCGATTGGCTTGTCTCGCCCTACATTATGTAACTATGATTAATGAAACTATTTAGTCCGACTACACGACCGCGATAACCAAGTTTCCACATTTGGTTAAAATTTAATGAAGTGAATACCATTCTTGAAATCAAAGTAAGCAACAACTAGAAATAGTTTAAAGTTTATTTAAACAATGCTGACTTATTAAAATTCCTCTCAATCCTTAGGTACAGTCGTACAAATCTACTTGCTGTGGACTAACATTTTTGAGCCGAGACCTAGAAACTGGCATGGGACTTCATTAATTTAAATTCTTAACATTTAATTAGAAGCAATGAAACTTTTATGTCACAAATTGTTAATTAAAAATAAGTTAAGGCCTAGTTTTGTACTTCATTATAATTTAATGAGGAGGATCAAAATAATTGGCGCTCTATAGCTCAGGCTTCCGGACATAAATAGCTGAAAGTTTTAGTTTACTTTGTTTGTGTTGTGTGGGTAGAGCAGACAGGAACATTGACCGATGAGGTCAAGGTCTTACATTAATGCCAGTAACTGCACTGTGTGTCGTCAGGGTACAGGGAGACAGAACTACCAACCGATGCATACGAACATGATCGAACAATTTTTATTAAATGAGTAAAAAATAAAGTGCTAATGTATCTTGCTGAATACCGTACCGTGAGTACGAACTGGAAAAACTAGAATTTGCTGGCTCGACCTTAATCCCCAGAAACTTTAATCCCCAAAAGGCTGGCAACGTACCAACTTGTCACTGCTCTGGTGTCGCCGCATCACATGAAAAATAACAACAATAATATGTTTATGTCATTTATTTCTTCTTTTAATTAGGTGAGATATTTCCTGAGCTCTACACGACCACGTCAGCTTTGGATGATGAAGAGGACAGCACAGAGCCGGAGGAGGATTCCTCAGAAGTAGAGGAGTGCGAGCCGTCCCCCTCTCCACGTCCGGCACTCTCCGCACTACCAGCACCACAACCCTCGCCCAAAGAAGACTCCCTCACCAACTTGGACTCTCAGTACTACAGGTAAGTGGATCAGTTATTCATCTGACTATTCTGCCTACAATCACGATTATGTTATATTTCAGCTCTATGTTCGTAATTAAAGGTTTCGTTGAAATAATGTTCTTATGGACATATACATCCCATTGGCTTTAAGATACTCAGATAAGTGTTATCGAAGCTACACAACATATACATTAATATTGCTATATCACACTACAGCTGTATTGAGTAAATTTGGCATCCAATTAGGAGACGTAACTCTGTCGTCCAGTAGAAAAATGAAAAGAACGGTATTGAGGGTATTTTGAAAATTGCACAAAAAGTAACGTAACGATGTTTACCGTAATAAGATAAACAAGTGACGAAAAAAGAATTCCTTGAGCTGAAGGGAGCGACAATCTCCGGGGATCTACTAAGCCAAACAAAACCTCGGCCCCGGGCGTGTCACAGCGGAACATTCTAACAATACGAAGTACGCGAGCCGCTGCGAAATGTTCGCTGTCATTAAGATGTTGATCCACATCTGAAGTCCCAGCCAGCTCGGCCACAACTTGCAACAACACTCCAACTTTTTCCTAGTTTTACAGACACATTCAGCTCGCCGCGCCGCATGCCTGCCTACCTACATACATGTTTTTATCATTGGACAAGTTTGTTGGACACTTGGAGAACAGTAGCCACTTCCATCTGATGTTTTGTATAAGTTGTTTCTAGCGTCCGAACTTGTGTAAGTCTCGAGTAGGGAGCGACATAACAGCAAGAGCAACGTGTCGCGTTGTTAGCTTAGTCGAGCGTACACAGTGAATGTCTATATTTATTTTGTTTCACATTTCACTGCTCTTTTTTCGTTATTGTGCAATACCTTCCATTGAATTTGATAAAGCGAGTAAAACGGAACAGAGAGCCGATCATGGCGCACAAAGTGGTTCTCGCGAGCGTTGTTAAACTTTCATAACATGTAAATGTCGGCCCGCTCCGCTCCCTGGCCCGCTCCCTGGCCCGCTCCCTGGCCCGCTCCCTAGTTCGCTCCCTGGCTCGCCCCGTCACCTGAACACACTCTAAACAAGATTGATCGGAGCATTTTGTAGCGAGCCTCGTAATCTCGCTAATGTGTTTACTTACCTGTTTGCCTTCCTGAATTCTGTCCCTTTTGTCTCGCATATAATGTCTTAATGCCGACCCATTTCTCAAGGGGAGCGTTTTTTCCTCCAGACAACTGGATACTGCTGATAATGGTAATGGATCGCACCGAACTTCGGACTGAATTAACTGGCCTCTGTGTCACTCCGGACTAATGATTCTCATATTTCAAACGGATGCGATGACATAATATGCTGTAGAACATCGGAGCTCAATCGCCTCTTATATCTTCAATTTACGATTAGCATAAAACGGAAAGGATCGTTTGACCTATTTCTGATGGTTCCCGAATAAAGGCACGAGTTTAATATAGGTAGGTACTACAGTATTTCAGTGACGTGATACTTTATCGGGATCTGAAATGAAAAATACGGAGAACTGGGTAAATGGCCACTTCACCGACTACTTTTAACAAAATACAACGTCACGGACATATATTTAATGAAAGTGAACGACAGAGTGTGTATAACATTTGCTTCGACTTGGTTGTGGTGCAGCTACACGGTGGCGCTGGGAGTGACGGTGGGCGCGGGCTGCTTCCTGCTGGCGCTGAACGTGCTGGTATTCGCCGGCATCTACCTGCAGCGCGGCCGCCGGAGAACTGCACACCGCCGCCCGCGGAGGGAAGGTATGACCTTACAAGCTGTCACAATAATTACTTCCCCAAGTCGACATCGCTCAAGACGTTTCTAGCCGTGACCTTTTACGAGACGTTTTGAAATTGTTTCGTCTGAGCGAATAAAAACCTCCAAAGTACCTAACGCCGAGTCAACCGCTTATCTTTCCAGTTCAATGAAACGTGTCAACTGCAGGAAGCGGTTTTATTGTAAGATTATTGTAAACGATTTACTCAAACATACCATTTGTGTACGGCGTATTTACTTTTATGTAGCGCCGACATTTCACTATCAATATATACGAATACGAGGCAGCAAAGTAAACACTTTTTTACATTTCCGCAAGAAAGGTTTCATATCTGAATACATTTTTATGAGCAATCACTTGGCAATATAACCGTAGTATAAACTACAAACACGGTCCTAACCAGTCTGCCGCAGGGTACACCAGTCGTAGGACCGTCATTTACAAAACTTGCTCTTAATATTTCGAGGAGATCGAATTTGTTATTCACGGTAGGGGCCAGTAATAACTCGCGGAGCATTTTGAGTAGTGAGAGAGCGACGATGGCGGTGTGCCGTGTTGTGACAGTAATTGTTTACTGGTGAGACTGTTAAAAGTATAAAACAGTAGAAAGCCCAAATACGAGCAATTTGTCTTAAATACATTGTTCATTGCTTAAATGGACACTTTATAATCCAGGCCACCGCCGGCACTTCCAGTCGCTGTCGGGATATCTCCAGTAAACCGAGCCACTATTTATGGACGTTCCCAGCGATTGAACGCGACGTGCGCTCTCATTCATGTGCAGCTTCAATACGCTACTCCGATTCAAAAACCACGGAAACATTTTGTAGAACTGCTATTTTAAAATTCAACATGTTCTATGTATGAAAAAAAGATGAAATATTTTTCTCTCTTTGTTGCGATACTAGTTCGTTTTGCCCGTGAAACATTGCTCTGCTACCTTTCAATTAGTGCGTTTTAAATTCGTATTTTTAATGGCAGGCAGTTGCAGCAGTCGCAGCGGGGCGTCTCTGAGCAACGAGCCTACTTCTGTGACCTCTCCTCGCAAAAGCACGCTCAAGGTAATAATATCGTTTTGATCAAGTGTTACTGTAGCCGATTATATCAAGTAAATAACAGATCATATACTGACCCTCGACCTTGACTTCCATTAACATATCTTTCGATTTCCACAGCGCAGCAGCGAGTCAGAACTCAAAGAGAGGCCGAGCAGCGCCGGCGTCGCGCCTCCAAAAAAACGCGTCCAGATCCAAGAGATATCGGTGTAGACGATTTTTGAACGTTAGTTGATACAGCCGGTACAGTATCTGTTACTGCAACTATCTGGTGTAAGTGTGTGCGAGTAATTACAATGTGATGACTAATCGTGTGAGAGTGTGCGTAACTGTGGCAACGAAACGTTCATCATGAGGGATCCGACGGCAAGATGTCGTGTGGCAATGAGCACACACTATATTATGAAGTGTTTCTTCGTGACTGTGTGAGCAGTCTTTCCGTTGATGCAGGCTGTATGCTCCTAACTATACAAATACAACGAGCGTGACACATGACGTACGTGTGTGGCTCAAGCGATCTCTCTTCAGCGCTAGAATACACTGCTGGCTGTGTTCAGATACAATCCACTTTCATCGCGAGGTCAGTGCACAATCGATATGTGATTTTCAATTTGCAGAGAAGTTGTCTAGGGTTGGGGGCCGTGTATCCTAGCATCAAGTATCTACCTCCTGAACAAATAAACGGTTTAGTGCAATTTCCATTTCTGTTAAGTTTTTGTTATTGTTTGTCTCGAATTTATATATTGTATAGTCTACTTCTCTGTTAACAAACTGTTTTACATTATGTGATGATATCGAAGTGTTTAGTGGAATATTTGAGTTGTGAACTCTGGTACTTAAGACCTTTTTATTGATAATCTGTACATAGTATTACTATATAGACGGATATACATACATAGTTCTGGAAACTTGTGGAAGCGATGCTGAATGGTTCACTTTGTATATAACTACTGTTAGTTTCTATTATACGATATTGTAAATATTAGATTGTGGTGAATATCTGTGAACTCTGATGATTTTATCATCTGTAAAACGAGGTTTTATTAAAGACCATTTTTCCTGACTTTGGTTATTTTATTTCAAACTGTTATCCAAACAATAAACGGTCGGTTAATAGAAAACCATTACCGGGATGATAAGAACCTTTACACTTCTAATCTGGTGACGAACATTAGAAAGTTAATTAATTTGGAAAGAGGCTCAGTAACGCCCAGTTTCCAAAGGTGATTGCGCAGAAACCTTTAACATTGGCCAGGTCTATACCTGGCCAATGTAAAAGTTTTAATGGCTTAGCGAAAGTACAAAAAGGCAAAACCATCAAAGTATTAGAGAGCGCTTCGCAGCGGCAGCCATTGTTACCCGCGGCCCGAGTGCCGGCCGATACATTCTGTTAACCGCTTCAATCACGCTATGGCACAATCACACACATACTCAAATACACATATTAATGTTAATTGTGCAGAACTGACACATTACAAGATGGAAGGTAATATGAACTACAATGAACCTCAAGACAAACTATATAAATGCTAAAATATTTTTCGTATACTTAACAAAGTCTTTGAAGAGCTGGTGTAGAAGTTACGATAGTCGTGGACAGCGAAAAATATGAAAGTTTCGAGACGAAGTTAGTTATTCAACGAGTTACAACAGTTTGGAGCACCGGATCCAGATATGAATCTCTGCCAGAGATAAACTTTGTGAGCTTTCTTTTTTAAAAGAGTCCCTAATCTATAGAGCCTCGAACCTTTTGAATAATTTTCCTCAATACGTTTTCTTTGGGCTCTTATTTTGATCTTTACCTTATTTATTTTCTACTTATTTCGGGATAAACGATTTTTGAAGATTTACTACAATTTGCTTATATTGATAAAGCTGAAGGGAGTTAATATTTAAGAGTAGAACCCACAATATAATCATGAAATAAATACGTTTACATTATTTATAAAGTAAGTACTTGTTACAAAACCTTAAAAATTCACTACGGCTACGGCTAGCCGAGTAATAATCGGACTTAGGTTCTAAGTACGCTACAGAAACATATAAACATGAATACTTAGATTATTGTTTACAAACGAAGCAAATGGCCAAGATTATGATATTCTCTTACAAAAACAGAGGACCGGCTCGAGGCGTCGGTACTGGCGGCCCTGGAACAATTGCTTTTGAACTCCGGACCGCTCATTGTACGACCAAATGAGAGTGCACTTAATTTATGATCCTGCTATGAATGCTGGGAGGGGCGGAGGATCATCAATCAGATCCTCCCGAGTAAGCGAGCGAGGTGTCTTAAGGTCATTTAAATCAAAATACAGAATGAACATTTTTGTGTATTCAGCACATGAATCATGACGACTTGTTATAAAATTGGGAATGTTATTCCTTATAGAGATATGTATTACACATTTTTTTCCTTTTTTACACTCCTAAACTCAGATGTGCAATGCATTTAGTTATTTACAAAAGCTAAGTATGTTATATTTTTCATAATATTGTCTACATCGACGTACACAAGGACACCCCTAACGACCCCAATCTATGTGCCTTCAATTAATTTTAACTTTACAGTATGTAAAGTAAAGTTAAGTAATCTTTATTGTGTTGATTGTGTTGGTTACAGATGTCATACATATTAATAGTGGTACACAGTACAACAATCAGCCCGTTTGGGCATACAATAAATCAAGGCCCATTTGGGCTGGTACATTATTAATTAAAACAAAATTACAAGTTAACAACAAAAAATACATAAGTAAGTATGACATAAATGTCAGCGTATCCCTCAATTTGATAATGTCTGACTCTGTACAAAACACTTTGACCTACAAAACAAAGTCGTGGCACATGGCGTAGGTAAAGGAGCGAGGTCCCCAGTCGACCCTCAACAGTGAAGCAGTGCATTACCACGCTTTGCATAACAGAGTTCGTTTCCTACAGTGTGTACACAGTAAGGCGCAGCGTGCCGAGTGCGCCCTTTTCCCCTTTATACAGTAAATAGAATAACGCGACTCCCTTGTGCACGCGTTTGTTGCCTGCGAGCAAGTACAGGCTCACTTTGTGCTCGGTCCACTTCCAGCCTTCTTTGTAAGTGGGGACTATTTCCTCAAAACATTAAGTTACTCTCTTCACCGGCCTGAACCACATATACATATAATATTTGTTTAATAGATGTCACTATGACAGTGACAGCTAGCTAGTGCCGTCAAAGTCACAATTCCCGGAATTTTCGCTTTGTGACCAATGTGGGAATTCAAACCTCGGTACGTGGCGTAGGAAGGAGTCAACTACTTGTGTACACGATAATCTCATGTGGCACATTGTCCATATAGATTACGTTCTACATTCAAATTTATTTGGTACATAGTGACCAGCTAGACATTGTGCAGGACGCCCTAAATATTACAACCACGTTTGATGTAAGCTCACTTCAGATGACTCTAGGTGTTAATGTGAGAAGAATCAATGTAGGAGTATTGTCTAGCGAAGTAAGTAGTTACTGAGCGTCACCCTGATACGGAGTAGACGTCAGGTGTCATCCCGGGATGGAGCTCAGACGGACATTACAAAAAAATATTGGGGTGGGTTACACAAAGGTTCAACATTCTCACTGTGGCTTCAAAACATTTCATTTGTTAACATGATCGCGACTCTAATACTAAACTATCCGTAACACAATCGGTCCACAAAAGCTGAGAATTGTATAGCTACCCATACAGTATGGAGAGAGGCAGCAACAGGAACAATAGAAGGTCCTCTCATTAACGCATGCCATGCTGCAGAACATTTAGCTAACATTCTCATAATTAAAACATTTCTGAAGTATTTGTGCGCTATCTAGGGCGGGCTGCACACTCTTTCAGTGAGTCGCGCCGTGTTTCCGGTCGGACGGTTATCACTGGGAACAAGTTTGTCGCCGGCTGAATAATGCACGACCCGGGAATACGTAAATACTCTGGCGAGCTAACGAGTAGTTTAGCTGTGAGCACTCAGCAACTGCAGGTGCCTGGCCAGACTTATTGAACACGATCAAAGTAGGAGTCTCTTCAGATCAACATAAAATTAACTTTATAACATATGATGACCCGTTGATGTCTTTTATATGTTACCATTGCAATGGTCACAGGTCACAAGCCGCAATATGTGAGCAGCCACACAACTGCCCGCCTTGTAATGCCCGCGTCTGTGCACGAATATCATTTCGTATTTTTCGCGACAGAGGGCGCCTGGAATGTTATTTCGGAATGTTATAATATATAAGCTCTCTGTGTGTGTAGCGGTGTTATCATGGCGGTACGTGGTCATTTAGCGGGTGAGCTCATTACTGGACTGTCTTAATTTTGATTATACAAATCTGACTTCTGGTCAGTTTTGTGGTTAGTTACTTTTCGAGTGTTTTTATTTTAATTTTAAGTATACTTATTACTAATATGAAAATGCTTCTTTCTCGAATAATATGTTTCATCAGGATTCTACATAATATAACAGTCTTCGTACAGATATAAATATTATTATGAAGACCTTCACAGCTGAGATACGTCACCGTATCCTAAAACACTATGTATTCTTCGTGTAATATATATTTTAGGGACCTCACGATATACCTACACGTATAAAATCTACATAGGTACACCTTTCTCATTTTCGAGAGGCTTCAGAGGATCACAAACCCGGACATCTGAGCGTAGGAGGAGTGCGAAATTTATTAAATCCAATATCTACATACACCGACACAAAACATCAAGTAAAATACAACATAACCAGTCGATCCTGGGATATTTTATTAAATATCGATCTCAAATGTATCAAAATCGAACAAATGACATACAGAGAAAAAATATTGTTACCTACACACAAACTTACGACTGTCGTGAATCCAAATATTCACTAGAATAACATCTTGCATCTTTAGACCTCGTCAAACAAACCGAAGTCTCAAGTTATGGACAAAAACAACAGTGTTCACATATTTATGGCAGATCCAGCGAGGTCCGGCCGGAATGAAAAATGGGCCCACTTATACCCGGGCCCGTATCAATAATGTAAAGACTTCACTTTTGTCTAACAGCCTCGGATATTGCCTACACAATCCATTTATGTCGATCGCCATTATTTGTCAGATATAGAAACTACATCCAACTTTATCCAGTATTTATTGATTTGCCGCTGGTGAAGCTGTGCTCCATAATGACTCATTCGGTACAATGCTGCTTACGTAACTAGTGCTGGTGCTGCCGGCTCCCAGCTCACTGCTCACGTGCTTCATTTACAAGTGATGACAAGGAGATTTATGATCCCAAGTAGAGCAGATAATGGAACAAAACAAAGAATGCAGCAACAGCTGCTGGCGAGGAACATAAACGCATACGATGCACTCAACTAAAGTGCTGGAGTACACGTGTAGCTGCAGAGGCATAATCTTCACGTGAATGTTAAATTTACTTTTGGAAATGTAGTTTGTTGGCAAAGTTATGCATACGCTCTCGTTAAATCCCCAAAGAAATGTACACGCTTCACAAGTTTCCCCAAAGCGCCGGTAGAAGCTCTCCTCGTTCAGCAGCTCAGTAAGTTGGCCGAAACTTAGTGAACAATGTGCCGGCTCGTACCCTCGTGCTCGTACCCTGGACTCTCCGCCAGAGTACCACGTGCTCCACATTATGTACTGAATCTACGAGCACTTTATCCCAAATTTCAATTGGAAACCAATACTCCTCCATACATTCCGTCCGACTATCGA